CAGAGAATGTTCTCGCGCACGGTTCCACCAAATATCCAAGCGGCCTGGGGCATATAGGCGATGCTCTGTGAGCGACTGGCAGAACCGCTGGATAGCGGCAACTCACCAAGTATTGCTTGCAGTAGCGAGGACTTGAGGAGGGAGACGCAGACAAGAGAGATTAAATAAGCAAACAACTAAACAGAGCGACACAGAAAGGGATGGTAGGCGCCTAGTGACTAGCCGCTTTTCCCCGATCCATTGCATGCTTTATCTCTTTCTCAGACTGCGCGCACCATATTCGCCACAATAATTACCGGGTCCGTTTCGCCAGTCAAACTGCTGGACTTATGGATGCAAATTTAGATACTACGCGTAGTGACTTCCATTTTTTCGTCGTGGTTTCGTCTTCCATAAGGCAAAATAATTAGAGTTGCGGAAATTCGCGTTGAAGAATTCGAAAGACAATATGGCGAACACTCGTTCGCTTCCGATAAATTCCCTTTAGACCTGTACCTTTTAATTGCTATTGCAATGATTAATAAGGAAAGACGGGCAAGTAGTAGCTATTCTGTAGCGGGATTCGGGGGGCGGGGGTGGATGAAGTGAAAAACAAAATAACCGTCAGTGTCCGGGGGAGGGAGATTGTGGGCACTGGGACGGGTAATTATATGCGGGTGGCTGGCTTGGTGGCTTTGAATCATAGTAACTATGGGGCCCGCACAAGGTCCTTCTGCGCGTATAGGATTAATTTGTGTAGCCTAATTGCAGCCGCCTCTGGCGTTGCCAACAGACGCTGCCCAAGGGATTTTAGATAGCTTTACTGAACCGCGCAAATCACTTGGAAGACCCGTCCGGCATTTATACAGTGGTATGTGTCTATCACGTCCGGGAGGATAGAGTCAGTATCGTTCTTTATTTGACCCTTTCCTTACCATGCCGGGACGTGCTCTCTTATTCTTTCGGACAAACGCCAGCTCTTGTAACCGAAATATTATGCCCCATAGGAGCAGATGAAGGAGTAAATACAAATGGAAGTGGTCTGAGCTGGTAGTTTGTCCTTGCCCTCTCCGTATGGGATGGGATTGGTGGAGAAGAGTACACGGGTGTCAGCTGCTGGAAAGGTGTTTAATACAGCTTGAGTTAGGCGCCTTCGTAGAAGTTCACTCGGTGCGTCTTCTTGAAACGGGACTCTGATGGAAAGTTTTTCCTTTTATGCTGTCAGTTTCAGGGGTTTTGGTGGTCCTTCGATCACGTACTTAGCAATGAATTGATCAGGGTACCTGTTCTGGTGGAAGATACTTTAGACAATCTCAATGCTATCACCTGAGCTGATACTCCTTAGTCTTTGTCATACGGCGGTCTAAATTACGCTTCACGTTAACGGTACGAAACTCCCATAATTGGTGTATTGTGAGGGTCAAACGCCCACTTTACATGCTTGTATACCTCAACTCATAAGGCCT